AAGAACTCTGTGGCTAAGAAACCGAATCAAGTTATGGAGCACGAAGACATGAGTGACATGACGAAGGTTTCATCACATTCACATCGTATAAGGAAGGTGAAGAACGAGCGGATGGCGAAAGATGAAGATGTTGACAAAGAAGCAGAGAATTTCATCAATCTAAAGCACATGAAATTCAGCAAGTGTATATAACAACCACCACCATCTAGTTATAGAGGGATCTAGAAGATCCATAAGATCAAAGATATTATTGTGAATATTTTTAGAGATTTTCCTCCTGGAAACTCACTGGTTGTTCACTTCGGATAGCATAGAGAATCTCTAGTATATGTAAAACTGTAACATGTGATTGTGTTCTACCTGTCACAGCTACTTTTCTTTTGGTAACTGTTGTACTGGATAACAACTATCATGTGTGAATTTAAATATACAAACCAAATTTCACTACTTGTACTAAACTCCCATTTACCTTTCCAGTATAACCAAAAAAAAAAAAGTCTTCCAAAGAGAAAAGTTTAAGATGCTGACCCATGTTCAACAATTCAGTAAACGCCAATCGGATGTTCAAATTGGGCCGAATGCCTAACGAACAAATCGGAGATTAAACGGAGCCTGTTTTTGATAATTTTTAAATTTATATTTAAAATTTATTAAATTTAGAGGTTAAATAATAATATGTTTGTGAACAAAATACAAGTATTGGGTGTGAACACCAATATTTGTCTTTTTTTATTTATTTTAATAAGGGGTAAATATGTAAGAAAATTTATCAAAACTACTATGACCTAAAATAATTTTCCAAAACTATCACAAGCCAATATAAAATTACTATTTATTCCTCATCTACTAGCTCTTGCAAATCATTCTTTTTGATATTTTCAGAAATTTCTTTAGAATTATGGTATTTTTAAAAAGATTTTTTCAGATTATGGTAGTTTTGGAAATATTCCCAAAATCTAATCTCCCATATAATCTTCTTCCTACGAAAATATGATCTTCTTATATCGTCGTTCCTCTTTTGTTTGATTTACACTGTTTTCACTGGTTTTCATTCGGATCTATC